ATCACAATTTTTTATCTGTGGTTCTGAAATACAAAAAACTCTTGAAAACTTTTTTGTAACCCAGTTGGTGATAAAAGCTGACCTGACATGAACTTATTTGGCACTAAAACCTATGAAGCGGCCGGGCGCGGTGGCTTACTCCTGTAATCCTAGCACTCTGGGAGGCCGAGACAGGCGGATTATTTGAGCTCAGCAGTTCGAGACCAGCCTGAGCAAGAGCGAGACCCCATCCCTACTAAAAATAGAAAGAAATTATCTGGACAACTAAAAATATATACAGAAAAAATTAGCCGGGCATGGTGGCACATGCCTGTAGTCCCAGCTACTTAGGAGGCTGAGGCAGAAGAATTGCTTGAGCCCAGGAGTCTGAAGTTTCTGTGAGCTAGGCTGACGCCACGGCACTCTAGCCCAGGCAACAGAGCAACACTTTGTCTCAAAAAAAATAAAAAATAAAAAACCTAAAACCTATGAAGCTATTAAGCTATTTGTAATCTTCACACATCTGACTTCATGTGAATATTTATGTTTTGCTGCAAAATTATTAATGTTTGGTTGTGGGATGCTGTCCTAGTACTCCCTGAGGGTGTTATCTAATATAGAGTGTATTATAGAAATATTTATTATAGAAATTATATATTATATAAAAATATATTAAATCCTTTTTCAAATCTGAGAAATTCTGAATTTTGAAACACATATGCCCCCAGGGTTTTGAATATGGGTCTATGGAACTGCATACATTGGAACAAATGTCCTTAACATTTTTGTTTTCTCAGAATAAATTTATATCCTGACAAAATATGTATACATATTAAATCAGATTTTCTGGGTTTGAATCCTAGTTCTGTCATTTATTAGCTGTAGCTATACTTAAATTTTCTCATCAGTAAGATGGGGATAAGAGAGTTATTCTGAGGATTAAATGACGTAACACGTGTAAAACACTTAGAACAATGTCTGGCAATTAGTAAGTATTTAATGTATGTCAACTATAATCATAATAACAGAAGAGTGTACCAATTTATAACCGATTTATCTTTCTAACAGTGTACCCATTTTCCTATGCTCTTGTCTATGTTTGGTACTATCATTCTTGTCTAATGCAACAGGCCAAAAAAAAAAAAAATCATTGTTTTGCTTGCATTTCTTTCATTTCTAGTGATGCTGAAAATATTTTCATACTTTTATTAACCATTAGTATTTTTATGCTCAAGTTTTTCTTTAGTGTCACACTTTAAAAAAGATCGACCCTATTACAAGATTATTAAAATATTTACATTTGCCTATATTTTTTCTAGTATTTCCAAGTTTGTTCATTTCTTTCTTCATTCTTTTCTTCCTTTTCAGAGTTTAATCCTTTTAGATTTCATTTTGGTGTCTGACTTAAAAAAAATCCTATATACTTAGCCAGTTGCCCCAATACCAGTTACTGAATAAACCATCTTTTTACCACTTATTAAAAACTCTATTTTTATCATATACTAAATTCTTGGTCTTTTTCTAGATATATTATTCTTTTGATTGATCTATTAACTCTCTTGCCCACACCATATTCTTTTGACTTTTGGTAGGTCAAATACTCCCTTATTATTTTGATTTTTCAAAATTTTCTTATATATTGATACACATTTATTCTTCCAGATGAAAACTGGAATTATTTTGGAAAGTTTTCAACAAAACAGCATTGGGATTTTGATAGGAATTAACTTGAGGGAACTGACATATTTCAATATTGAGTCTTCCCATTTATTCAGGGACATAAAGTGTTCCCATTTCTTCAAGGTGTATTTCATAAACTTTAAAAGTCCTTGCTAATAGCTACAGCTTAAATACACATGCCCTTTCAGTTTTTAGCAAATAGGAAACTAAATTGATTAATATGTGAATACCTTTATTGGTACTAAGTAGTTGTTACAGACTGAATGTTTGGGTTCCCCCAAAATTCATCCCCAAAGTGATGATATCTGGAGATGAAGAAGTAATTAGGGTTAATTAGGGTCATCATGATGGGATTAGTGCCTTCATAGGAGACACTAGAGAGCTTGCCCCTTCTCCATGCTCACACAAATAGGTCATGGGAGCACACAGTAAAGTATAACCCCTGGTGCCCCAAAGATCCAGCCTACCACTGGACTCTGAATTTGCAGGCAGATGTGTGGTACTGCTTCTCCTAAAGTGTAAACCTCTTTGTGCCTATCCCTACCCAGCTGGAGCCCCTACTAAACTAGCAATTGAAAAATGGCTTCTCTTAACATCTAAGGTATTTGCTTGGAAAGCTCTCCTTCAACTTTCCCTTTCCTCTTTTCCTCCCACTTCCAATTAATCTGCTTTGTATACAGTGAAAGGGAGGTTTGAGATTTGATCTCAGGTCCAAATGAGAAGCCAGGCAAGCAACATGAAACCCACAGGCCTTGATTTACTCATTGTCCTATTTTATCCTGAACCAAACCTTTCACTAGTAGTTCAGTAGCCATTGGTAGTGAAACAATGTCCCAAACTGAACATAAGACTTGTTCTTAATGAAGTAGAAAAAAGCAAAAACAGTAGTAGTTATTGAAATAGTGGGAATTTATAAGGCAAGAACAATGAAAATAATGCTACATTTAATTGAAAAACCAACAAACTATATACATCATGTTGTTTTTTGAAAAGACAAGTGACATTTTAGTTGTAACTTTTTATTGATTGTGCATAGAGAAGATAAATCAGGAGCAAGATATGTAGCAGTGATTGTTTATGTCCTAGGAAAAGTTAATTTCTAAAATTTTTGTTCCACAAACTGTTTAAATCTATACATCTTATAAACTACACAGAAGAGTGCACAACATTAACAACTTAAAGTTATCTCTGAATTTAAATCTGCAGGCATTTTTTCTTACTCTTATTTTATAACAGCTTTGTCTTATTTTATCATTTTTAGCTATATTTATGCCTCAGAAGTACTTATAGTAAGAAATGGATCATGTCATATGGGGGGGAAAAGTGAGCGCTTTTAGCCCTTTGGAAATATTAAAGTTATTTTAAATATTTTCAATAGAACTACACTGGAACCTCCGTGACAGAGTGGTATAGGATTAACAAATTGTATGGTATCCCAGTATTTCATTAGTAATAGTGTTCTTAGGAGAGATGTTGTGAATGTGTTATCAGCATGGATCCAGCATATTCTCTGAAATCTTAAATAC